AAATATAAAATGTAAATTATAGTGACTAAGTTATGATTTAATTAAATTTGGAGTATGAAAGTAATTTTATAAATTTATTTTATGGTGGATTGAATTCATATATTGGTTCAAAAAGATTGGTGGATTGGATTCAAGGATTCAAGTGAAATCAAAACATTGGACCAATATGTATATTTAATAAAAATTGTAGGTACGAAAATCGCATAAAATTTAGATATCAAAACATAATTGTTCAATGATTTACATTATAGCGACTAAGTTGTGTTTTAATTAATTTTGGATATGAAAATGCAAATGTACATAATAGTGACTAAGTTGTGATTTAATTAAATTTGGAGTATCAAAATGTAAAATGTATATTATAGTGATTAAGTTCTGATTTAATTAAATTTAGGATATCAAAATAAAAAATATACATTATAGTGACTAAGTTGTGGTTTAATTAATTTTGGGATATGAAAATGTAAAATTTACATGACTAACTTGTGTTTTAATTAAATTTGGAGTATTAAAATGTAAAATATATATTATGATGATAAAGTTGTGGTTTAATTTAATTTGAGGTATGAAAATGAAAAAATTTACGCAACAGTAAACTGACTTCACTTTTATATATAACTAGTTTTTTACCCGCCCGTTGGGCGGTGTATTACATTTGATTATTTTAAAATTCGTTATAGTATTCTAATTATTATTATCATTTATATTTGTTGATTTAATATACATGAAATTGTAAATCTCACTTACCTTATTTAGGTAATGTTTCATACTTTTGTACTTTCTTATTTATGAAAAATTTAATTGTATTAACTGTGCTCTTTGTAGACCGTTCTTTATTGATTTAAAATATTGTATCGAACTAAAAAAAGTGATAAAGAAGTTAAAAAATTTAAGGTAAAAAAACAAAGTAGTTAGGATAAGAAAATAGGATTCAATTAATAAAAAAAATAAGTGAATATCTTTTCATTTTCTTTCCCTTCTCCTATGTTGGTATATGATAATAGAGAATATTCCGATCTATATCTCACGAATATCGTGCATTATCAATTACACCTGCAATTCTGGAATAATGATGAAATACATTAGCATCAACATCCATCAGTCTTCTGGATACTCAATTAATTTATCTGGTCAATGTTCTAGCAAAGCCAACCTCAAACAAAACTGTCAGTTGTCACTAATTTATTAAAACAATATTTTCCACAAACTAAACTTAATATAAATATAATTTATAATTTATAGAGAGCTGCATATCTCCTAAAGGAAAAATAGTGCTTTTTTACCAAATAACAGCATAGACAAATAATGAAAGGAGCATACTTCAATACAACTCAACTCATTCTATCTTGCATATTCCTAATTTGTGAACTGAATCTATGCACCAATCAAAATAGTAGTTGGTAAGAAAATAATCAAGTCAAAATCAAGGTTTAGTTAAGGATTTAATGAGGAGAAATTCACCCTAGTCAAAACAAACAAATGTCATTGCAAACGTGTAAAAATTGAAAAACATCAAAATACACAACTGAGGAACCGCCACAATCATTTTCTTTCTTCTTCACGACCTTTATAAAACCCCCAATTATGTTCCCTTCTACTTATAATCTCATTGCTACCTACTAATTAACCAGATCATCATCTTATAGCTAGCTAGTAGCATGTCAATCATGAACATAAGGAATATAATGAAAAACCCTCAGAACTCCACTTTCCATTTCAACATCTAAAGAATCCGGTTGCAATAGGCATTTAAGTAAAAATCAATTATTCAACCAAAGGACATATGCTCTAAGTCCAACCAATTATCCTTTCTAATCATATATTACCTATTTACATAAAAGTATATGATGTAATAGAAAACATAAAATAACTCCGTGAAAACGAAGAATAAATACATTCGCTCATCAAGTAGGGAAATTTACCATCCAGCAGTTTTAATTTGGAAGAAATTAAGAAAATAATGGAAAAAAGAGTGAGTAGTTGTGAGCTTCAGATCAAGGAGGAAGAGGGAGCAGTCGACAATCCTCGGTTTGGTTCACCTCAGTGGCGGAAGGAGAGTATAACAGGGTGGGTCCTGGGACCCACCCTGACTCGGAAGGAAAATTGTTCAATTAGGTACAATAGTTAATTTATATAGAAAATTAGGGGTATTTAATTGAGAATAGTTGATCGAAAGATTTTTTGTTCAAAATTTTGGCGACCTCATTTGTTAAGTACACGATATACAGATTTGTGCAAACTTCATTTTTCTATAAGTTGACTTTCTTATATGAGGGAGCGTGCTAGTAAATAGTATAAGATATATTATCGAACCTCTTCCAACAACTCAATTTATTGATTCAAAAAGATTCTTGACAAATAACATCATTTGTAAGCGAATGACTAACCAAATCATGAATTATTGTTTGATGTAAGATTTATTATTAAATATCTCTTGACAACTCGAGTTATAGATACTAATGGTTTTTTATAAAGAACATCATACGAAACAGAACGACTAACTAAATCATTAATAATTGTTTGGTATATAAAGTAATATTCTTGATACTTTCGACTGCTAATCTATTTTACTTATCCAAAATTTTCCAATATAAGATTATGTCATGAATGATTCGCAAAGTTAACAAAAATTATTTTACCAGGTGTATTTTTCTTCTAAGTGGACCCACCTTAGATGAAATCTTAACTACGCCACTGGTTCACCTCGTCTTCGTAATGATAGGATGAACTGCTTTTATCAACATGCAAAAATATGTTACAACTGTTCAAAAAATTTCCATCTAATCGTTTCCTCGTGTACCTCCCTCCTCCTATTCTCCTACAAACAAAAAAAAAACTTCATATGCATCACCATTTCCTTCTCTATCTAATTTCTTATTTTCAATGTTGGATTTTATTTCTAGAGAGATAATCCAAATGGGAAAATGGTAGAAATAAATTAAAAGTTGTATTTATAATTAATATGTTTTTTATTTAAACGGAATGAATAAGAAGTGTTTTAAAAAAAATAACATTTATTGCTATGTCAAATTTATCTTCAGATCTTTTTCTATATAAATTATACTTGTTTTGTTTTATAAGTATATTCATTAGGAAGAAGTGAGTGTTTGATAACAAAAAAAATATAGTCATGTAGTTCATTTTTCAAAAACGATTGATTGTCAAACGCTCATTTGCTCCTAAGCCATCGTTTAAATTTTGTTTAATTGAAAAATTATTATTATTCATATGTGTGCTTGTTTTTTTCCATCAAAATGCAACTTATTATAAATTTTTAGTGAAAATGAATAGAAAATTTACTTAATGAGATTTAATAAGATATTTTGGGTTAAACTGTCACTCTCTATTTCATTTTTATAGTTTGTTTAATTGAAGAAAAGATTATTAATTATGTGTGTTTGTTTGTTTAAATGTGTCACAAAAAATGAAATAAGTTTTAGTAAAAATGAGTAGAAGTATTAAAAGAAGAGAGAGATAGCTCCATAAATAGATCAATAAATAAATTTTTGTTTGTTAAAAAATTGTCCACCTTGGCATCTTGTGAATTCACCAAGTGCTTATGTGACAAGAAGTTATTTTTGAATAGGCATATATTAAGTATAGATAACGATTGAGAGTTTAGTCGAAATCTTCTTTACTGCAGTTTCTGGTTATAAGATCAACTCAGGCAATTTCCAAAATGTGATGTTGCGATCTCGCAGAATTTTGCCTGCAGCTCTGGTCGACCAGGTCTGTAATGGTGCTCTCGTGAACCAATTAAACGACGGAAGTGTGGTAATATAATATTTAATATAACGGACAAAGTAAAGCATCCCAACAAGGGCCAGTTTGCTGGTAGTTATCTCTACCGCCATCTCCCAAGACCAAAACTCCAACAACGAAAGGAATCAAAACACACGCAGCATTGCAATCTTCCAAAAATTTATGATCTGTTGAACAAGTTAAACGCAAATCGACCCAAGTTTTCCAAGTAGATCCGGGTGATAAAAATGATTAATCTTAATAAAACATTTGTAGACAATAAATTTATTTCGAGTGGTTGTGGTGTTGGTTTTTAACCTGGAGCTCCCATATTCGAATTTCAGGGATCATACTCATTTTTCTCTACCCCTACCCCTTTAGTAGTACCTGTAACAAGTTTATGTCAAAAAAAGTCTAAAATATGTTTTATATAGTTTTGTATACGTTGTCTCGGACGAACCTCGAATAATTAATGAATTGAAATTTTACTTCAATTATTCATTATTAGGGCAGACCATAACAACTTTCAAAACTTGGAGACTAACAACTTCGAGTAGTTGAGTGAGTATTACAAAACTCGAGCAATTCTACTATGCTATACAGTATTAGTGCTTTAATGTACAATTTAAAGTTGTACCATAACATTAAATGTATAATTTAGGTTGTACCATAAAGTAATTTGTATCATTATGTCATGGTACAACTTCACAACTTGAAGTTGTACCATCACATAAAAGTACACGTTCAAGTTGTACCATAAAAGAATTTGTACAAAAAGTATAGGTACAATATAAAATTGTACCATAACGTAAATGTACAATTTTAAATTGTACCATAAAAGCAAAATCCTATAGCATTGTAAAATTTCTCTATAAAACTCATCTACAACCATATGAGTCCATACGATAATTATGTAAATAAAAGTTATAAATAAACACATTTAGTTTAGTCGATGTTTTGAGCTAATTATTCCATTCATAAAATTGTGCTTATAATTAGCGATATATTGAAGTTTTTTTGAAAATTTTGATACTTTAAAACTCAAATATCAATACCGTATGTTCAAAATACAAAATTTTGTGTTTCTTTTTTTTTATGAATAAGAATAATTTTGTGTTTCAACTTTCAAATTCGTGATTATTTTTAAACAATTAGCTAAAATAATAGGGTTAAAGACACATTTGGTCACTGAGATTACAAAATCGGGACATGTTTAGTCACTAGAAAAAGTTAATATCAAATTTGGTCACTACAATTACTAAAACTGGACGCATTTAGTCACTCGTCGTTAGTCTCCGTCCAACTCCGTTAATGAAGTCCGTTAAGTGCTGATGTGGCAAACAGAATTGCCTAATCAGCCGGATATAACCCAACAAAAATAAAACCCGACCCGCCACGTCATTATAACCCGCCACGTCATTAAAACCAACCCAACCCAACCCATGACCCAACCCTTCTTCCTCCCACCTCGGCACCTCCCACCTCCTTCTTTCCCCAAAACCACCGTCGCCGCCGCTCTCCTCCTTCCTCCCACCTCCTCCCGCAAACCAGTTCTGGCCCGACCCGCCCTACGGCGAGATGAGGACGGGGAGGTTGTAGCCGTCGACGAGGCTGACGTCGAAGAAGTCCTGGCCGCCGTAGCCGTCGAGCTTGAATTCGGCGAGCGTGGCGGGGGGAGCGGCGCCGGCGCCGGAGCACTCGACCTGGCCGGAGCCGCAGAATCCGGTGATGTAGGAGAATTTGCCCGTGGAGTCCTCGGAGCAGTGGGTCCGGCCCCAGAGGCGGCCGCCCCAGGAGGCCGGCGGGGAGATGGTCCGGGTCTCGTCCTTCTGGAGCACGAATCCGGTGGTGGGCAGCGGCGCCACGTCGACGTTGGAGAGAATGCCCGGCCATACCGTGTAGTCGCACTGGTTGGTGATTGTGATGGTTGTGGAAACGACCCCGATTGGGAAGAAATTAGCAGTACCCAGAATGAAGAGGAGTAGCAATTGAGGAATTAGAGGAGCCGGCATTGAATCAATGGAAAAGAAAAGAAGAATAAGAGTTGAAATAAGATTTTTTTGGAATTGGGAATGACAGAGGAAGAAGATGAAGGAAGGGCGGCAGATTAATGGCGGAGAGATCTTCTCCCCGCCCAGCGAATTTGGATGGGATGGGGAAAACCCTAAATTGGGTTCGGCCGGACTTCAACAGGAGGAATCTTGACGATTACCCTTCAGCAAGTCGAATAGGTTTGTGGAAGGAGGTGGGAGGAAGGAGGAAGGAGGAGAGCAGCGGCGGCGGTGGTTTTGGGGAAAGAAGGAGGTGGGAGGTGCCGAGGTGGGAGGAAGAAGGGTTGGGTAGGGTTGGGTCATGGGTTGGGTTAGTTTTAATGAGGTGGCGGGTTATAATGACGTGGCGGGTCGGGTTTTATTTTTGTTGGGTTATATCCGGCTGATTAGGCAATTTTGTTTGCCACGTCAGCACTTAACGGACTTCATTAACGGAGTTGGATGGAGACTAACGGCGAGTGACTAAATGCGTCCAGTTTTAGTAATTGTAGTGACCAAATTTGATATTAACTTTTTCTAGTGACTAAACATGTCCCGATTTTGTAATCTCAGTGACCAAATGTGTCTTTAACCCTAAAATAATATATCTTAAACTATTTATACCGCAAAAAGAAATACCATTAGTATAACTAATAATAAAGTCTAAAAAATCCACGACCGGATAGTTTTAAAAATCAAGTTCGTAGTTCAATAAAGGCGCCCTGCGTATTTCTCCTTCTCAAATTTCCCTCCTTCCTTCTCTGCCCATTGAGAAATGTCCAACCTGCTCTGTTTCTTCTTCTTCTTCCACTCTTCTCGCCCACGCCACACCTAACGCCAAACCAACTTCCAGCGACCTCCAACGGTCGATGAAACCAATGCCACCGCTGTTCAGCAACTCGGCAACCGCCGGGCTTCTCTCCGGCGGGAAACAGCAGGTCACTGTCTTCGTCAGCTCCGGCCCCGTCTTCCTCGCCACCGCCGCCGCCAGCAATCATCAGATCTTCCCCGTGGACTACCAGAATCAGGTCTCACAGCGCCTTGTCGATGCCTCCCACCGCAACGACGCTAATTCAGCCCTCGACTGCCTCGCCGATCCCTTCGTCGACGTCAACTTCGCCGGCACGGTGAGCCTCCGGTCGAAGAAGACCGAGGTCGTGCTCCACGGAGAGTCAGCTCACGATGTCCGCGTCGAGTACGAGGAGTTCAAGACTGACGTCACTGCTCTCTTCCTCGCCGCCCACGCCGGCAACTCGCTGCTCGTAAAAAATTTGCTGGTAGCGTGACCGAGAAACTTCCTTCTCTGCTTTCCTTCTCTGCTTAACTTTCCCTACGATTACAGCAAATTCGAAGTAACTACTGCTGTTTTCAGGATTGCGATTCGGTATCAAATTTCATAACGAATTAGGGACTTGATTCAGAAGAGGCAATGATTTAGGGATTGGAATTTTTGTGATTATGATCTCAATCGAGCTGAATTCTTCGGCCTTTCTCTTTGAGCAGAGTCATGGAGCAAATCCAAATCAGAAGCTGTTCCGAGGGTACGCCACAACGGCAGCAGTGAGAGAAGGCCATTTGGAGATACTGGAGAGGCTAATGAAAGCAGGCGCGTGTCAGGAGGCATGCGAGGAAGCTCTAATGGAAGCGAGCTACTTAGGGCAGGCGAAGCCGGCCGAATTGCTCATGGGCTCCGACCTCATACGGCCACGGGTCGCTGTTCATGCGCTCGTATCGGCCTCCTGCAGGGGTTTCGTTAATGTGGTCGACGTGCTCATTAAGGCATTTACTCGAACACCTTGCCTCCATTTCGTAACTCAGTTTTTCAGCCTGTTTATTTCTTTGGTGATTGAAATTGTTTTGGGGGATTGTTGAATTGGACAGTGCGGAGTAGATGCCAACGCTATGGATCGGGTGCTGCTTCAATCTTCGAAGCCGTTGCTGCACACGAATGTCTACAGCAATGCTCTCGCTGCCGCCGTTGTTAGTAGACAGACCTCGGTAGTCAGATTGTTGTTGCAGGTAGGCAACATTTGCATCCAGTCCGCACCTTAGGAGGATTGTTTGTGGGTCAATTACATAACGGTTTTGAGTACGGATTGTGGGTTTTATTGCCATTCCTAAATCGCCATTGTAATTGGGACTAATATATGAATTCATTAACCAAATTTGAGCCTACCAATATTTGAATACCGAATTCTATAGCACTAACGATTTCTAGCTGCGATACAGGCTGGGGTGAGACTGGACATGAAAGTGCAACTAGGAGCATGGTCATGGGACATGGAAACCGGCGAAGAAATCCGAGTGGGAGCAGGACTAGCCGAGGCCTACAACGTCACATGGTGCGCGGTCGAGTATTTTGAATCCACCGGCACAATACTCCGCTTGCTCCTCACCCATCTCTCCCCGAATCTCTGCCACCTCGGCAGGACTCTCATTCACCACGCCATTCTCTGCAACAATCCCCAAGCAGCCGAAGTCCTCATCGCCTCCGGTGCGGATACCGAATACCCGGCGGCAACTTCAAAAACCCAACTCCGGCCAGTTCACTTGGCCGCTCGCCGTGGGTCCAACAGAATCCTCCAACAGCTCATCTCCATCACCGGCTGCAACGTCGATTCGAGGACGAATTCTGGTCAATCCGCGCTCATGATCTGCGCAGAGCACAAGCAGGAGGAATGCCTCAAAGTGCTGGCCTCAGCAGGAGCAGATTTCGGTATGGTGGATTCCAGTGGTGAGTCTGCCATCTCCATTGCGAGGAAGCACGATTGGGGTCTAGGGTTTCAGCAGGCGGTAATGGACGCAATCCGATGTGGGAAAGTCGTGAAATCGAGCGATGTTTCGGTTTTCTCGCCGTTGGCGTTCGCGATTCGAGCAGGAGATCTCCAGGCATTGAAGCGGCTGACGGAGAAAGCTGATGTGGATCTCGACGAACAGGACGGAAATGGATTTACGGCTCTCATGGTGGCCGCCGCCGCCGGCCACCTCGACGCCTTCAAATTGCTGCTCCGGGCAGGAGCCGACGCGAAATTAAGGAACAAAAATGGGGAGACGGCAATGTGCTTGGCCGAATCGAAACTGAACCAGATCGAATTGTTCGGAAAGGCTCTGCTCGAGCACGAATCATCCAACAATTGTAAGAACCCACCAATCGGAAATCACGCCCTGCATCGCGCCGCCGTGCGAGGGGAATTAGGATTGGTCCAGGATTTGATTGGACAAAGTGGCACCGACGTCAACGCTGCCGACGGCGACGGGTACACTCCGTTGATGCTCGCGGCGAGAGAAGGGCACGGGAAGGTCTGTCGGGTTCTGATCTCGGCAGGAGCGGAGGTCGACGCACGAAATGCTAGGGGGGAGACGGCGCTGATTCTGTCCCGGCGAAATGGGGGAGGGGAGACGGCGGCGGAGGAGGTGATTTTGGATTACAAGGCGCGGGAGCTTGTGGTGGGAGGCGGGCGGGTGAAGAAGCATACGAAGGGAGGGAAAGGGAAGGCGCATCACAAGACGATGAGGATGGTGCCGGCGGCGGGGACTCTCCGTTGGGAGGAGAAATGGAGGTGGTGGAAGTGGTGGAGCGAGAGGGAAGCGGTGTGTAAGGATGCAAAGGTGGGTCCGACGGCGGAGTTTCGGTGGAATCGACAGCGGAAGGAGGTTACGGAGGAGGAACCGGGGATGTTTCACGTGGTGACGACGAGTGATAGGATAATCCATTTTGTTTGTGAAGGTGGGGATGAGATGGCGGAGCTTTGGGTTAGAGGGATCAAGATTGTCACTCGGGAAGCCATATTCGGCACTCAACAACAATTCTTTTAGGATTCCCATATTGTATTTTCCTTTATTTGTGTGCAAAAAATGGTGTGTATACTTGTATACTAAGCTTTTCATATGAATTGAATCGAATCATCAACTAAATTAGTGGAACCGTAAATAAGTTATAATAGTGGTTAGATTCATTTGCTTGGACGACTAAAATTGGACTGAACGGTTTTTCTCGGTTGGAGATGAAATTATATGAATCACTCTTGTTTGATTGGTTCGCTATTTTAACCACGAAAAATTAAGAAATAATAAATTTTAATGTAAATCAAGACCATCCAACTTGAATTAATATTTTTATTTCAGCTTCCTCTTCTTTGATTTCTAGCCTCCTTGTCAGATTTATGTGGTGCGCTCTCCATTGTCACCCTATTTACTAATTTGAATTTAATAAAAACAATTAAGGTTTCTTTTAGTGAGACCGTTTGAATAATTTGTTAGAACTTTGGTGATGAATGATATGAATTTGGAAGTGTTTATTGTTAGTTACAAATTCAGTTCTAAATTATTTTATTATACATGTCTTTTATGTTATAGGGCATGAATGGTTCTATTAACAGTGAATTAATAGTTCTTAATGGTTAATCAATGAACCATAAACCACTAACTTTTCTTGTTCATCGTTCGGTCCTATTCTGAAAATATAGATACTATGGGAGCGAATTGGTTATCGAGCATGCATAATCTTTTCCCTAATTTTATTTAAGGGGCTCTCTCTTTTTTTATTTAAATCATAATTCAATTTTTTCCACAGAAAAATTAGATCAATCGTGTTCTTCAAAATAACATACACTTTTATATCTTTTGAAACAAAAGAAAATTGAGACATATATTACCAAACTATACCATGACGGTAATACTTGGTAGTGCATAAGATTATATCATTGTGGTATGAAAGTGTATCATAGTGTACTAGTACAGGGGCTGGCCCATTGGTCGACAAGTCGTTGTCATTGTAGTCATTGTTGCTGGGAGAGTGGAGTTGAACATAAAACTAAAATGATTAAGGGATGGAAGGAGAAAGTGAAACATGAAAATTGTGCGGGAATGGGAACATGGGAAGAGGCAACAAAGAGAATAGGGGAATTAGAACCTGGTAATGGAAACCCGGCTTTTGCCCTTTTTTTGGTAGTAATCAATATAATGTTGGGCCGGTCATAGAGGCCCATTAGTCCAGTCATAAACAGAAAAGCACATCTGTTTTAACTCAACTTGAAAACCCCACATGAAATTGTATGTGCTCTTTTCTTCACCAACCCAATGCATTTATTAAGCTAACAATAAATGGACAAAAGCAAGAAACGTTTCCCCTCCCTTCCTCCCTTCCACGCCTCTGTTAAATTTCCGACGAAGGTAATTAGTCGACACTGGTTTCCTTGCTTGGACGCCTTCCCCTGCCTTCCTGTCAATATGAGCGTTATTATTTCGATTGTTGCTATCTTATTTACGAAACCTACCTC